AAGTAATTTATATATATATATATATATATATATATATATATATATATATATATATATATATTTGATTCAGAAGGGTCTACAGAACTGGAGCCTGTCAATCAGCAAGGAAAAGACCCTACTCTTACAACTCTACAGAAGTAAATTTTGCTAGCAATCTGTGCTGTTTTAAATGAGCCCCATAGGTTCATATATTTGAATGCTTGGTCCCCACTTGGTACAAGCACTTAGGAATGATTACAAGGTACATCATTGGCTTTGCAGTTTCAGAAGCCGATGTCTACCCTACCTACAAGCTCTCAGCTACTGCTCAAAGCAAATGTTCAGAGCAAAGCCACACCACCTGGCCCATAGGAAGAGAAGGATAAGGGAAATACCTACATAGGACATGTGAAACATTTTAAATTAGCTAGCCTAATGTGTGTCTCAATAGCTATGTGACTAATAAAATAAAGTGAACAAAACCAAATATAGAAGTAATATAATGAGTGAGTTTCACATGCATATGATTTCTCTCCTTACAGTAAATCTTTAAAAAGGACATTCTAACTTTGTTGAAAAATACTTTCCTGAATATACATACCATATCTAGCAAGAATAAGAAAAATGGGCTTAGATCCACCTCTGTAACACTTCAGCCAGCTAAGGTTCTAAGGTATACAAACATCCACAATTCTTCACTCGTGGCTGTCCACTCCTACTACAAAAATGTGGGAAAATGATCTCATTGCTTATAGCTATAAAGAAGGAAGAAGTATCTTATTTTGGTCAATATCACCAAACAGTTTTGAAGCCTGTAATAAACAAGCACTAAGCTTTTTTTCTGGTGATCTGAATATCTACAACACCTTACTTATTCTGCCAAATTTAAAGGTGCAAAACATAACATCACATTACAACTTCACGTTTATAGCAAGATTTCAACACAGGAGGAAGCATTTGATTTCAATGCAAGCACTGAGGTTACAGGCCAAGATATACTCGCTGAATGTCCTATTTCCCATTAGACAAAATATGGTGCTATTTAGTAGGAATTTGTTCAGTTGTATTCCTTTGTAAGCAAGCCCTCAGGAATAAGCATTAATCATTTTCTTAGGTGGTGTAGTCAAGCAAACTTGTTTGTGCTTGACTGAATAACCCCAAACATTCTCATAAAACTCTAATTTCTATGTAGCGAACAAACTAGACAAGACAGTAACAGAAATATAAAAGATGAGAACTTGTTGAGAAAAAGATAGGATTGAGTAGGAGTGGGAAGAGGAAATAAGGTTTTGAAGGCTAAATGACCAGAATATAATGCGTTTATATAAATATATACAGGACCCTGACAAAGAATCAAAACAAAATTTAATCAAGAATTCATTAAAATATTTCCTGAGTTGCCAAAGAGTAAAATTTTTTATATATTTTAATGTTATACAATCTTCTAAATACACTTGTTAATTAACTTAAGAGTGATTTTCCCTAAATTCATGAAATAGTCATACACACAATTTTCCTCAGAGTAGAATGAACATTCACTTGTACCATGTAGTCGCTAATAAATGGCCTAGAAGCTTCACTTATCATTTTTTTCACTGATTCTGTCAACTTCATATACTTTGAAATAGTTTCATTAAACCTAGCCCTCTCTCAGTATGCTTCTCCCAAAAAGTCATAGGAAAGGGTAATATCATCAATTGTTTTGAAGATGTCTCTGTTTTAATGCCTCAAGGTGAAAGTAATTCAATTCAATAGAAACTGTTTGTTGCAGATGAAAATACACAGAACATGAACTAAAGCAAATAGTGTTTTTAAAACTAAAACTACAAGCAAAAGTTTATATAAGTTTAATGACACTGTTTATATGAACTAAAACAAATAGTTTTGAAACTAAAACTACAAACAAATCTTTATATAAAGTTTAACGTTAAGATATAAAATATGTTTTACATTGTTACTACTAAGGAGTTTAATTTTGCATTAAGGAAGCCTTAATAATTTCATTTTTTTTTCTTTCGTTTCAGAGCTGAAGACCGAACTTAGGGCCTTCAAGCTAAATCTCCAACCACAATAATTTCTTTTTCCCATAGTTTCTTAACCACCAACAGTTCTAAATTTAACTAATCACTTCCTTCTATAGCCTGCTGTTTTCTAAACAACTGACTGAACTTTAATGAGAAGTCCAAGTCTCATTTAACACACACAAAGGGAAAATGCTGCAGGAAACCCAAATGATAGCTTTGAGAGAGAAAGTAAGCATCTACAGAAAAAAAAAAAAATCTAGTCAGAGTAAACTGTCATATAACAATACCAAAAGAGAAAAATTCAGTAATGAGTGGCCACTTGTCTTATGAAAAGTAAATATAACTAACCTGACAAAAATGACTGTAGCTACAGTATGAATGGGGACCACCACTGCTACTCATGTTCATTAGGTACATGCTCTATATGCTTCACTTTTCAGGAAAAACTTACCAATTTAGCAACCTTTCCATAGTCAATCCATCTGACAGTAGCAAAATTTGTAGACTCAGCACAATTGAAACCATGATTAAAACCAGCATGATATCCATAAGGAAAAGTGATCATAAACTCTCCAGCCTCCTGGGTGATCTGTAGAGTTTGAGGAGACAGAATGTTCATTAAGTTTCCAAATCATTTAACGATTAGTATATATTTCCATTTTCTTTTTTAAAACCAAAAAAAAAAGTCAAAATATCAAAACTATTTTAAAATAATAAAAGTTTTGGAAGTTGATATGGCTCAGTGGTTAATAGTGCCTGGTAACTTGAGTTCAATCTCTGGGACCAACAATACAAGCAGAGTATGTATTGTCAGCAATCACAGACTTGAATATGAACATCTCATCTCCAGGTACAACACAGGAAATGGATTCACTAGTGCAGTCTATGTTCTGCATGTCTTATTATCCCAAACTTCGCCCAATTGTGATATTTTATTTATCATTACTGTTCTTTCAAGATAGTCTATATATTCTTGATGGCAGGTCTACTAATAATGTTGAGCACATACTTATGGATAAAAAAATTACCATTAGAACAAATATAAGATATCTACAGTGATTTCCAGTCCTGAACACCAACTACAGTTGGCAAAAGAATGAATAAATAAACAACATGAACTGAGAATCAAAAAAATAGTCATGGACAAGACTGTCAATCCTGGAGAAGATACCAACTATTATTTAATACGTTTTCTTTTTTTAACAAATAAAAAAATAAAATAAAAAAGAGAGAGAGGCGGGGAGCCTTTGGGGCTGCTTGGCAAGAATCTGACATGGGCCAAGGACAAGGAAATGGGCTGCTTGGCAGGAATATGACATTGGCCAAGGAATCGGAAGTGGGCTTCAGGCAGAAATCTGACATTAGACTAGAACAAAGAAGTAATTTCAGTCAGGAATCTAAATCTTAGGCTAGAACAAGGAAATAGGCTTCAGACATGAAAATGACTTTGGTCTAGGACAGAGAAGTAGGCTTAGATATTTTGGTCATCCTGATAAGCCTTTAGAAATAGTGATCACAGGAGTGTTCCCAGAATTGTGTTTAATGCCTTACTTGTTCTTTGACTATTTGTGTTTACTGTCTTACTTGTTCTTTGACTATTTGCATCTACTGAATTGCTAGACCCTCAACCTAGAACTGACCATAATAAATTCATGTAATTAAAATGGTATAAAAGCAAGAAGGAGGAGGGGGTATGAGACAGGGGTTCTAGGGAGGAAAAATGGGGAAAGGGTATGACATCTGAAATGAAAATAAATAAATTATCCAATAAGAAAGGAAGGAAGGAAGGAAGGAAGGAAGGAAGGAAGGAAGGAAGGAAGGAAGGAAGGAAGGAAGGAAGGAAGGGAGGGAAAGCAAGAATTTATAAAACTCTTAAAGAAACGAAAAAAACATTTTTTTCACCATTCAGTTCTCACTGGCAGAAGATTTCTCTAAAATATCTGACACAAAGCCAAGTTGTGTTTGAAGTTACTGAGCAATATGATACAATTCTCTTATTTCAGTTCTAAAATGTTGGGAAATAAATGAATCGTGTAGAGATGTGTATTTAAAATATTTAGCAGTAAAACTATATAAATATAAAAGTATATATTGTAATCAAACTGGCATCTTGGCCTTGTTAGTTGTTGATTGTGAAATGTCCTGTAACTACCTTACTTGCCTAATTTAAGGAAAACCAGATTATCACATCAAACCCACAACTAAAAAAAGAAATTCACATGTCCAGAAACAAAAACAACATGACTGGCCAAAATAGCATGCCTCTTATCAAACTCACTAGTCCTATAGATACATCAGAAGAGAGAAGTTAATAGAAAATTATAAACAATCATAAACTTTATTTAAAAATACAAGGAATTTTACAATGGCATATACAAATACTTTACTTAACTCCAAAGGATAACAAAAAGACCTTGAGTTATAGCCAATACAAACACATATGTGAACAAAATAACAAAGATAATTCAGGATTTGAAAACTAAATTTAATAAAGAGGTAGAAACACTGAATAGAACACAAGCTAAAATGAAAGTGGAATTCAAACATTCAATATCTTGATGAGGAAATTCAGGAGAAGCTTTTAAAAAAAAGAATAAGTCAAGAATAGAAAAGACTACTAACAAGACACAAAATGGAGGATATAGGCAAAAACAGAAAAGAAAAAAACAGAAAGAAGGGAAGAAGGAAGGAAGGAAAGAAGGAAGGAAGGAAATGAAATAAAAATAGGAAAAACTTAGAAAGGATAAAAACATACAGAAAATGTGGTATACTATAAAATTCCTAATCATCAAATTATAGGCATAGAAGAGGGACAAGAGGGCACACGAGTGATACCGGGGCTTTGTAGGAGTTCAGGAGTTCTACTTCTGCTTGAATTGTATTGTGTTTTATTTAAAAAGTTTAAGAAGCTCTAGTAACTAGTGATTGCAGGCAGAGGGAGTAATAATTAGTCTCTTCATTTTGGCTAACCAATATTATAAAGTGGTCAGCTCTGAAACCACATATACAAAAACAACAAAAAAAGGACTCAACCAGACATATTTGTAAATCTGTGCAAAAACATAGATATGTACATAACAATAGTATTCAAAGAAAGAGGCTCTAAATTTGAGAGTGGGAATACACATGGGAGGGCTTAGAGAGGGGGAATATGGAAGACAATGAAGAGAAAAATGACGGGGAAAAGTAATGTAATTATATTTTAATTAAAAATGTAAAAATAATAAAATATAAAAAGAGTTTTATTAAAAATAAGAAGCTCTCTATTTCATGTTCTGTCTGTCAGAACCTGACAAATACAGAAGCTGATGCTTGCAGCCAACCATTGTAGAGTGCAGGGTCTCCAATGGAGGAGTTGGAGAAGGGATTGAAGGAGGAGTTGAAGGGGTTTGTAGCCACATGGGGGGGGGGGCAACAGTATTAACCTGCCAGACCCTCCAGAGCTCCCAGAGCTGGACCACCAACCAAAGAGTACACATGGAGGGACCCATGGCTCCAGCAACATATGTGGCAGAGGATAGCTTTGGTGGACATCAGTGAGAGGGGCAGCCCTTGGGCCTGAGGGTGTTCGATGCCCCAGTGTAGGAGAATGCCAGGGCAGGAAAGTGGGAGTGTGTGGGTGGGTAAAGGAGCACCTTCACAGAAGGAGGGGGAGAGGGGATGGGATATGGGGTTTCCGAAGGGGAGACCTGGAAAGAGGAAAACAATTGAAATGTAAATAAAATATCCAATTTTTAAAAATGGCAAAAAAAAAAAGAATTTTACAATAGAATGTAAAACTCTTTACATAGATTGTCTTTTCTAAATCTTAGAATATCCATCAGTAATCATTAGTATTATCTCTATTTTAGAGGTAAAGAAGGTAAAACTCTTTTAAAACTAATGTAACAAAAACCAGGAGTGAGACTAACAGATGTAATTCTACAACCACCGACTGTCACTAGCTCCTATGACATCACAGAATAAACTATTTGAGAAACACTATGTTATCATGTGTCCTGTATCAAATCAAGGTGGAAAACAGAAGTGGACACAATTCCACACCAAGTCAATAATTCTTCCTGGTACCTTGTCGTCTTGGAAGTTAAATTTCTCCTGCTACTTTCTACTAGAGCCACAGAAGCCAACATAGCCAATGAAATACTGTGTAGAAGCAGAGAATCAGAATCACAAGAAAGAATTTAGCCTCCGTTCCACCAAAGGCTGGAAGAAGGAATGGTTTTAAGTTCCCTTTTCTACTACAAACCTGTAAAGGTTTTGTCTTAGGGCTTCACTGCTGTGAAGTGACAATATAACCACAGTAATTCTTACAAAGGAAAAGCTTTAATTTGGACTGGCTTACAGTTTCAGAGCTCTAATTCCTTATCCTCGTGGCGGGAAGCCTGACAGTGAGCAGGTAGACATGATGCTGGAGAAGGAGCTGAGAGTTCTACATCTTGATCCACAGCAGGAGACTGTGTGCAACATTGGGCATGGCTTGAGAATATATGAGACCTTAAAGCCCATCCCCACAGTTAACATACTTCCCCCAATAAGGCTCCATCTATTCCAACAAAGCAACACCTGCTAATATTGTCACTTCCTACAGGCCATACATTCAACACATGAGTCTATTGGGGTCCTACCTATTCAAACTGCCACCATGTATGTTTCAAGACCCCACTCAGTCATGGTGAAAATAGCCTACTCTGCACTACTTATAATATACATAACCTTCTGATCATAGAAGTATACTACCAATACTTACACCAATTCTAACCTTCAAGTGATTTGCTTCCCTTAATAAATGATAGGCAAGCATAGTACCATTTAACTATATTTACTAGACCTTGCATTTTTGTTAATATAGCATCTCACATGTCTCCACTGGCCTCAAACTCAATGTTCCTGCATTTGTGTATTGTGTGCTGAGATTACAACCTTGTGTTGTCACACCTTCTTACAGGCATATACTAGGCTTTAAATTGTCTTTTGTACTCCAACAAGTAGAATATTTTATGAAGCAACTGTCAATTAATTTAAAAAAGCACTCTACAGTCATGTATACTAAACCCACAAAAGCATTGTATCTGCAGGTCTGGTCAAGTCTTACTCTAGCAGAATCCCCTCTCAAGACAGTGTCTGCCCTTTGTAACTATCTCTGATGTGATCAGTTATCAGCTTCTCCCTATAACTGAGCCAGTCCCAAATAATGTACATCTTAGAGCCAATGTTCTGTTCTGTTTTCTCCATGGTTTTAAATGTGTGAGTAAACATGTTCATCACCAGAATGTATTTACTGAATAGCTGCAGCTATGTAGTAAACCCAGATGACCTGCTCAAGCTGAATGAAAACTCTTATTTTGAACAAAGCTTTGCCCCTAAAAGAAGATAATACTGGAAACTTTACTATGTTGGAGCTAGTTCTCCTCCTTCCCAACCTATGTGACCCCCTCCTCAAGATATTTCATGGACTTTCCTTTTCCCCATGCTACAAGGCCCACCCAGGTCTCTGAGGCTTCCCACAAACAACACAACTTAGGTCCATTCCTTCTCACTTCAAAGGTTCTTCCTGAACTCCCCATCCCTGAGCCAGTGGCTAGGTTTCCTCCTTCTTATCCCATAGCACTATACTGCTCCTCAAGGAGAACATAAGAATCTTTTTTTTTTTTAAGCGACCTTGCTCTTCCCAATGTAATAGGACCCCTCAGCACTTCTAGGAGCTCCCTCTACAACCGATCAGTTAGACCCATCTCCTATGTAATCTTCCTTCTCAAAGACAATAGGTAGATATCATTCTGCCATACCCTATATGCTTTTCCAGGATCTTGTCTTCAAATGCTGTCAGACTATTGAGGCCCTCCAGACTCTCCCATCCTCACCACTCAAAATACACTGATAGCTGCTTCCTACAGTATTAGCTTACCCCTTTTCTCCAGGATCTTACTTCCCAGTGCTCCAAGATATCTACTACCCCAACCAACCACATAGTACTTCTGCCCTCACAAGGAGAGTGCTTTTCAAGTTCTTCTCCACCTATCTTCCACTTACAAATAACTTACTCAAAGTTGTGCAACACTCTTGAGACCTGCACTGGAAGGCAGGAGAATGATGAAGCAGGATGGAATGTGCTGGACAGTGTTTGTTCCCAAAGATACCAGTAGACCTTCCAATGAAGACTAGGAATAGAAACTGCAACTCTTAATACAAAATGGGTCTAAGAAAGAACCACAAAAGTCAACCAAGTGACAGGTATAATTCCTAATATTAATGCAATCATTCTCCAGAAAAAAAGACACAGATAAGCAGACCAGACTAGAAAACACAATACATCTTATAGCTTCCTCCACTAAACATATTCCACTATAAAGTAAAAAATGAAAAGTAGGCACTTGAAGCAAACAAAAGTAATTAAAACACAGGCTTAGCTTTTAATATCTAATAAAATAGACTTCAATCCAAAATTAATCAAGAATGATGAGGATGATCATATGAATCCTAGGGTAGTGCTTTTGTAAATACACATGCACTAAGCACAGGTGCACCCTTCATAAAAGATATACTACTAGATCTAAAATATGCACTAACTGTAACAAAGAGACTGTAGGTGACTTTAATATGCCTTTCTTACCAAGAAATCATGTTGACAAAGATTAAACAGAAAAATGTTGGCTTTAACTGGCATTGCAAATCAAAAGGATGTGAAGGATATTTTAGAACATTCTAGAAAGCACATTCTTCTAGGGAGCCTATGGAACATTTTCCAAGTACATTAGGCAATTCTATAAGGAACAGTTTATAGTTTTAAGTTCCTATAGTGAAAAATGTAGGAGCTCTCAAATTAGCAACTTAAGGCTGTACCTAAAGGCCGTGAGACAAGAAGAACAAGCAAAACCAGACCAGTGGATTAGAATACAAAACAAAAGTTGAGTATGAAATTAATGAAAAAAAGTACAAAAAAATAAATGAAGAGTTTGTTCTTTTAAAGATAAAAGAGACAACAAAACCTTAGCTAATTAAGCAAAAAGGAAGTAAGAAATGATTAAGATACTGAGGAAACTCAGAGAATCATAAGGGCATATTTTAAAAAATTTACATTTCACTAAAAGGGAAACATTAAAAGAAACAAATAAATATTAAAAAGCATGTGATTTTTCCAAAGGTAGACATAGATATAGAAAATAATTTAAACACACCTGTAACAATCAAGAAAATTGATGCAGGAAATGAAAATCTTCCAACTTTTAAAAAGAACTTAGGCCAGATTTACTGAAAGCAAAATTCTATCAAGATATTCAATAATACTCCTCAAATTATTTGGTAAAATATTAAAGGAAGGAACACTTTGAATTGTTTTTTTACATGTCTAGTATTATCCTGATAACAAAACCAAAACACAACCAAAAAAAAAAAAAAGTGCAGGCCAATTCCCCTTATAAACATGAAAGAGAAAATTCTCAAAAAAATTCAGGAACACATGAAAAAAGTCACTGACCATGATCAAGTTGGCTATATCACAGAGATGGATGTATAATTCAATATATGTAAATCAACAAACATAATCTACCACATAAAGAAAACTAAACAGATACTTCAGAATAATAGCATATACTCAGAAAAGGTCTTTGACAAAATCCATGAGCATCCTTTCATGATAAAAGTCATAAGCATTGTAAAAATACAGGAGATGTATCTTAGTATTATAAAGGTAATATATAGGAAGCCTACAGGCAACATCTAGCTAAATGGAAAACAAGGTCACATCATTTCAAGTCAGTAATGAGACTAGGACAGCCATTCTATCTACCCCTCCTTGATACAGTGCTTACATTCTTCACAAGAGCAGCAAATGAAGATAAAGGGAACAGAAATAGGAAAGGAAAATACCAAAGAACTCTTTTTTAAACATAATACAGTTCTATACATAATAGACCCCTAAGACCACCAGAAAACTGGTGTAGCTGATAATTATATTGAAAAAAATTTCATAAAAAAAAATCATCCAGGCAGTGGTGGCACACATCTTTAATCCCAGCACTTGGGAGTAGATGCAGACGGATTTCTCAGTTCGAGGCTAGCCTGGTCTACAGAGTGAGTTCCAGGACAGCCAGGGGTACACAGAGAAACCTTGTCTGGAAAAACCTAAAAAAAAAAAAAATCAGTAGGCTTTTTTTTATAGCAATAACAAAAATACTGGGGAAGAAAACAGAAAAACAATCTAATCCATAAATATAAAAAACAAATGAAATAATTTTTAAAAATAATTATATGAATAAAGCTAGCTAAAGACCTGAAAAACTCATACAATGAAATATTTAAGGATGAAATTGAAGATAACATAGGATTAAAAGAAGTCTCACATTCATGGATTGGTAAGTTTAACCCTTATACAATCAAAAGTAACCTGTAGAGTAAATGCAATTCCTATCAAAATTTCATGCAATTCTTCACAAAAATTGAAGAGCAGAAGCACAAAATTCATACAGAAACACGAAAGACCTAGAATAGCCAAAATAACATTAAACAATAAAAACACTGCTAGAAGCTTTATCATCATTGAATTCAAATTATACTATAGAGTTATGATAATATAAATAGTACTACAATGGCATAAAAACAAACACATTGATCACTGGAATAAAACTGAGAGCCTAGATATGCACCCACACTGCTACAGCTGTTTGTCTATTAACAAAGAGGTCAAAAGCAAACTGGAGAAAAGACAGCATCTTCAACAGATAGTACCAATCAAACTTGATATGTATATTTAGAAGAATGAAATTAGATATTAATTTCGACCATACACAAAAGTCAACAACCATGTATAAAAAACTTCAACATAAAACTTGACACCATGATTTAATAGGCAATGCATTTCAATGTATAGGCACATGAAAGAGCTTTCTGAACAATACTCAGTAGCACAGGCATTCAGACTAATAATTGTTAAATAGGACCTAATAGAACTAAAAACCTTCTAGAAAGTAAAGGACACGATAATTCATGTAGTCTATACAAAGGAGGGTAATAATATTAAACAATGATACATCTGAAAGAATGTAGTCGTCTAGAAGATAGTAGAAAATCTTGAGAAGCAAAACAAGAAAACAAACAAAAATAACAATTAAAAACTGGCAAATGAAAGTAAACAGAGTACTCAAAAGAAGAAGTAAAAAATGACTGAGAAATACTTTATTTTTTAAAAGTCTAACATCCTTACCCATCAAAGAATGAAAACTGAAACTAGTTTGAAACACATCTTACCTCAGTTAACGACAACATATGTGACATGATGTGAGGAAAGGAATATCTTTCTTTATGCACTGTTGGAAAAAGTATAAACTAGTAGAAGGGACTATGAAAATCAGTAAGGAGGTAATTCAAACAGCTAAACACAGATAGAAGACCCAGTTACAGCATAGCTAGTATATTCTCAATGGAATGTATATCTAACTACAGAGATATTTGTTCCTCCATGTTCCTTGTTGTGTTATTCATAATGCCTAAGGAAAAAAAGCAGCCTAGATACCTACCAACTGAAAAATGTATATAGAAAATATGCTATAAATAGAATGCTATTCTTTCATAGGACCTGAGTCCAGTTCTTAGCACCATGCTAGGGGACCCACAACCACCTGTTAACTCTAGACTCAGGGAGTCTGATGACCTCTTCTGTCTTCCAGGGACACTATCACTGACTTGTACTGACTTGACTGAGTCAGCTCGGAGTCTATATCATATCCCCTCCCTGCAAGGCTTGAGAATCATTATGGAAGAAAAGACAGAAAGATAAGAGCCAGAGATAGTAGATATCTGCAGAAAAACATATCTGCCAGATATGACAACACCATTTCATGCATGAACTCAGAGTAGCAGTAACTGTATATACAAAAACTGTACATGATCATGCAAGCCACCAAATTAGTATGGCTAGAAAAGGAGATTATGAAGTTCTCAATAGAAGCTATAGGCAACTAATGTCTGCTTTTATGGTTTTTTTTTTTGTTTTTTTCTTTTTAACCATGACCCCCCCCCCCAGGAATCTATCCATCCTCCAGTACATGGTTCTATAGCCATGCACATGTAAGTATTGCTAAGTAGACTCTGTGAGTTTAAAAAAAAAGAAGAAGAAGAAGGGACATTATATTTGAAGGGAAAGTGATAATGGAGAGAGTGAAAAATCTGGATGGGAAGAAACAGTGGGTGGATATTATATTTATGTATGAAATGCTCAACAAAAATTAAATATATATAAGTTTGAGTAAATACATTTTAAAATAAGATTTTAATTAAGAATTAATTTTTGATGCTATAGAACATGAGCTTAAATTTCTCTTCACCTGTCATAAGTGTTATTTAATAATCCAAGACATGTTTTGCCATTTTAAATTCTTCTTAAATACAAATCTCATGAAATGAAAAATCTACTTGTGAAAGTCCAACAGAAACAAACCTTGTCGAAGGGAATGCCATACTTCTTCAGCACTGAGGGGGAAATCAGCGTCATCTTGTGGCGGAGAAATGCATCACAGCCTTGGGAGCTGCTGGGGAAAAAGCCTAAAGATCAACATAAATATAGTGTAAGTTAAGAAAACATTTCATGCAGTTTTTAAAATATACTTGAATTCTAATGTTCTTATAACTTGAACTAAAAACCAGTCCAAGTCCTAATCCTTAAAAAGCGATATATATGTCAAAAAGGTTGAACTTTTCAAAACTATTTACCCAAAATTATATTTATAAATACAAAATCATTAAATTTCAAATCGACACATATTTGAAATGCACTCGCCTAATATATAATAACTTACTGTTCAAACTTACTGTTCAAGTAGAAAGTGAGATTAAGGACACCTGTGTACTAGCCCAATCCCTCAGTGGAGACACTGAGAACTAACCATTCTGAAAGCACTGCTTCCAGTAGCCCAAGAAACCATATGCACCAAACTCTTCCCTATCTTCCTTCTTCTTTCCAGTTAATTTCACACTAACCACTAGTAACTTAAAATATCCTATAATAACTATGCTTAGGAACAATGAATTAAATTATTTCAAAGTCACAGACAGAATTTTAATATGTCTAACATGAAGAAATGATTTATCTCTTAAATGACAGATTTCCCCTTCCTAGCATGGTATAAGTATTTGAAAATATCATATTATACCATAAAAACATTCATAATTACTATGTGTCAGTTAGAAATAATATTTTAAAGGCTGCAGAGAGGGTTAAACGGTTAAGAGCACTTGCTGCTCTAGCAGAGGAGCCAGGTTTGTTTCCCAGCACCAACAAGGTGGCTCACGACCACCTGTCACTCATGTTCCAGAGGGTCTGATGGCATCTTCTGACCTCCAAAGCACCAGGAATACACATGGTGCACATTCATAAATATATGCAAGTAAATATTCATACACATAAATAAAATAATCTTAATTTAAAAAAACCCATCTGAGTAAATACAAACAAATGACTGGAAACTTGCCTTACAAGCCTATTTTGGGGAGCTTTGAAGAGAGGAAGCTAAACATTAAGGAAATCTTTTATTCAACAATGTATTAAATGTTCACTCAGCAGTGTATTATGCTTTAGTTCATAGCCGATTTTATCCATCACTGCTTTCAATCTAGCTGAGGTATGCTGTCATTACCTTGGTGATACTGGGAGAGGAAAATGAAAACTGGCATGTTTGATGTTTTATTCAGCTCTTTGTCCTTCAAAGGATGAGCAATCTTACCCAGAGAGTGGGAAACAAGTCACAGTGAGAAGTACAAAGTGAAGACAGAGGAAAATGAAAGAGGACAGATCCCAAGGAAACAAAAAGACAACAGAAATGATGCATGTATCCTGTGGAAGTGAAAGTACGATGTGATATCTTATCTAAAATGAAGGAAGATTTGCCAGAACTCTAGCTAGCTCTGATGCTCTACACAAAAGTCAGAGTAGGTTACTTTGATGAAAAACTCATTAGTACTCAATTGAAAAAGAAAGGTATGTTTTAATTTTGTGTTAGACTGAATTCAGATATCCTCAGCCACACAAGGTCTATAGGCAACAAAGGTAGACATAAATGATGAATCTTGAATCATCTGAATCATCATAAATTCGGAGAAATTTTTAGGTAATTTAAATGTTTGTTTATGCTACAGTAGGGAGCAAGGTCACACAGCTCAGATAGATAGATAGATAGATAGATAGATAGATAGATAGATAGATAGATAGATAGATAGATAGAACAAATACCTAATAAACAGACAAAGCAATTAAGCAATTTAAGGAATAGCTTGGTAAAAAAAATAATAATAAAGTATTGTAAACTAAACAGTTGGCTCAGAAGTTAAAAGCCTATAGTGTTCTTTCAGGACTCAAGTCCAGTTCTTAGCACCATAATTAATTTTTAAAAAATAAATCTTTTTTTTTCCTTAAATACATTCTGTGTAAGCATCTTCATCTGTTTAAAACTAGAAAAGGGACAGAGAGGGGGAGTTCGCAAAATCAGTTCTCTATAGAGACATTGGGAAGTAAATACTACCATTCTTTCTTTACAAGACCAACACAAATAAAAATGTAACTTTGCCCTGTGATGTTATTTTCATAGCAATCTAGTGATAATTAATAATCATAAAATATAAACACTAAATAAAACTTTAATGACTAGGAAGTAAAAGCTGTACCAGTATAATGATTAAGTCTGTACAGTAAAATGCCCTAAGTCTTACTTAGGGAGAAAGGAAGGCACCCAACTCTAGCTGGTCTCCAAATTCAAACCCATCCAACAATTTTAATAAACTTCAAATAGATCTGTCAAGCTTTCCAAATCTGTAACTTTGTGCAGCACTATATAAACTAAGTTTTAAATTAAAATCATTGAAGAAAAAGGTGTCCATTAATTTGCTTCTGAAGTGGATGTGTAATCAGGACATGAACAATGGGAAAACATTATAATTTATCTTAAATTGGAAAACTACTGAAGGAAAGTCATGCTCTATACCTACATACATACACATCTACGTACACACACACACACACTTTTAAAAAATGAAAAAGCAACTGGAAGGCAAATTCAAATTCCTGGCTTTGTTAAATACAAGCCTTATATATTTGAGATAAAATATTCATAGGTGCCAAATATAGGCGTTAAAGTTTTCAGATAAAATATTCATAGGTGCCACAATCAATCAAGATCTCATTAAAAATCAAAAATGAAGCACTCATGCATAAAAGGTGGCTATAGTGGTTACAGTGTACAGGCAAGATAATGGAAAATATCTCAACCTGCTTTTCATTTTATGTTTCACACACTGCTTTGATGTAGATAGTCTATAAAGCTCTATCATATGTACTACATTGTTTTATCATTGTAATTATCTGGCTGGTATCTGCATAACAGATACAAATATTTCACTATCTTAAAGGACTTTTTCATTTGTTTCCTTTCTCAAAATACTACTGTAAGCAGTTTTAGTTCTCTTTTCATTGATTAAAAACGTGCGCCTTTACCTCCCTGGGACGTCACCTCTCATAGTTCACACGATAGACTTCAGTGTCTGACACTGCACCACAAAGCTGACATGAGTTCTTCTTAACGTTCTTTAGTGATGAGGTTCATTTAAATGGTGAAATACTTATTACAGAAAAGAACTCAACATTTAGTCTTAACACAAAGTTCATTACCTATATAGTCTATAATATATGATGATCATCTTATAACTCTCTGCTCTAATCTATTACCCAAACAGTATTCAAATACTTCGGTATTCTTGAAAATAATCCTTAAATTCACACTTACAATTAAACTACTATTATTATTGTTATATAATGAACACTGTCCTGCCAAAATTATAACACTGTGTCTTATAAAGGTGATCCTGTAACTACTTTGAATAGTTTCCTATAATTTGGGGAAGTGGATAAATTGTAGATTCCATTAATAATTTTTGATCAAACTGTCAAGTCAATGAGGTTTTTCAGTGCCCTCATTTGATTCTTTTAATTTATTTTTTATATATGAGTATACTATTGCTGTCTTCAGACATACCAGAAGAGAGCACAGGATTCCATTACAGATGGTTGTAAGCCACCACATGGTTTCTGAAAACTAAACTCAGGACCTCTGAAAGAGAAGTCACTGCTCTTAACCACTGAGCCATCTCTCTAGCCCTAAAGATTTATTTGTTTATGTACTATATTTTTTTTCTTTTGCCTTCAGGCTCATCTGCATGCTAGAAGAAGGTATCAGATCCCATGGGACTAGAGTTATAGAAGTTGTGAGCAACCTTGCAGGTGCAGGGAATTGAACTCAGGACCTCTGGAAGAACAGCCAGTGCTCTTAACCATTGAGCCATCTCTCCAGTCCTTATTTCATTTTTAAGTGAATATATGGTACATATAAGGAAAACTTCCCTCATCATTTTAATAAAAGGCAATCATAACATGATATATCAATGCATGAGCAGAAGAGCTCTACTCATTCAAGAGTGAGTCCTAATAAAGGAAGATTCAAGTTAAAAGGCTTGATTCAAGTTATCACTCAGATTTAACTCTTATTGTTCTTACAAATAGATCATGCCTAGCTGACATCTTTAGAAGAAGGGTGGCCAGCAAACAAATTTCAAAAGTGTTTAAGAAAAAAAAGAAAGGTGAGAATAGGCACAATCTATTGAAATGACAACTGTTCAATGAAATATTAAACAGTCAGCTAAACTTATTATAAAGACTATACAACAGAAGAAACATTAACTATTAATGTGAAAATAAATAATATTGTTCAATTAGGGTAACATTTAAAAGCTAGCAGTTTGAAGAAGATATACATAAAAAAAAATAGAGTAAATAAACTGCTGAACTACCTCAAAACACAAAGCATACAAGGTAAGAAACTGAATGTAAGTTTTACCTTGGGCTAGTCTTTCAAGTCGCTTTCCATGTTCTGGAGGTATAGCATACCTAAAATGTTAAGAAGAAAAAAATGTATGTTTAAAACAGTTTACCTAGTTTCTGAAGGGTATTTAGTCTAAATATCTTCATTTACAAAAACTGAACACTAACTGCACTTAAATGAACTAAGTAGAAAACAAGAAATAGTAAAAGCCTGTCCCTCAGACCCAGAAATGAAGAAAAATGAACATAAACTTCCTATTTAAATGTCACAAATCACCAGTAATTTAAAGCCTACAGAACAGATGTTCAAGACTAGTGAACCCTTGTCTAAGCCTGGAGACAACCCACTAACCACAACATTTCTATGTAGTGTAGATATTTCTGGACATGGGTACTCTTATTTGTTTAGAAGCTGGTGCAGTTTGGCATTATTTCATAGAAAACATTGGTTACTATCTTTGTAATTCTTTATCATATTTATTGTGGATGCATATGTATGTATGCACATGTGCATATATGTGTATAAAGGTCACAGGATAACTTTATGGGGTTGTTTCTCTCCTTCTATCAAGTTAGTTTCTAGAGATCAAACTCAGCTTTTCAGACTTAGTGGCAAGCATCTCTACCCAGTCAGCCATCTCACTGACATGGTTGTTGTCTTTTAAATGTAGCTTGCTTGTATTTGTTTATTTTATGGGGATATGACTTTTAAAATCCTAATCATATATTTTATGCCCTAAAGAACAGAAATATTCATCTAAATTTCCAAGTGCAGTGATTCTCAGTCTTCCTAATGCTGTGACTCTAATAGTTCCTCATTGCTGTGGTGACTGCCTTCACCATAAAATTATGTTCAATGCTACTTTACAATTGTCTTTTTTCTACTGTTAAGAACTGTGATGTAAGTATTCTTGGAGATAGAGGTTTGCCAAATGGGTCACAACACACAAGTTGTGTGTTGTGTCCTAGTGCTTCAAACATGAAGTAACTGAATTATTTGTTGAATTTTGAACTGAAAATTTCATAATATGCTGTACAATACTAAATTTTAAAGGCACTTCAATGAAAAACATTTGATATTGTCTTAGTTGGGGTTTTATATTGCTGTGACAAAACATTATGACCAAAAAAGCAAGTTGGGGAGGAAAGGGTATATTCAGCTTACATTTTCCCATTGCTGTTCAATCACCAAAAAGTCTGGATAGGAACTTAAACACTGCAGGAACCTGAAGACAGGAGCTGATGCAGAGGGCCATGGAGGTATGCTGCTTACTAGCTTGCTTCCTCTGGCATTCTCAGCTTGCTTTCTTATTGAACTCAGTACATCACCCCAAGAATAGTGCTACCCACCTTGATTTGGATTGAGAAAATACCTTACAGCTGAATCTCATGGAAGTATTTCCTCATATCTAACTGATATGTTTACATGTTATAAACATATCTAATAATCATTGAATGAGTTAAGTGAGATGATATACTGCTTTTAAACATAAAGATTTCCTGCTTACTAGAACAATATATAATAAATACAAATTTGTTTTTACTGATACACACACACCCTGTATGGCTGCCCAAATGAGCTGGGTGTGAAGAGATATTTATATACCCATATTACTCTAAGCAACTAGCAAGGTTAAATTCTCTCAATTTCAAATGTAATCATCAGTTCACAGAAAAAAACAAGGGCATTCATTTGTTGAAAAGAGAAAAGGGAAAGTTAACATTGTTCTATCCCACATCTGATCCTCAATTTACTTCTAGTGTATAAACCACTCTCCTTAGATACTCTTCTACCACCTTATCTGGGTGACCTTATTAGCACAAACTTCTACTTGGCTGGGTGTACTATTTTGGAGAGATTATCTATTTAATTGGGTCTGTTTTTCTTTTTATATTCAGAATAATGTCTTGGTCTATTTCTGAACTCTCTAAGAAACCCAATTCATATTATAATCATAAATCAATTCAAATAAAATTCCTATGATGTAATCAAACATTGCTACAGTTTAATATTCTCTGAAATCATTAAAGAGTGAAAAATCTTACCACCATTGCCCACAGAGAAAAATGAAATATTGCCCAAGTAAAGCTAAATCGTCATATTGATAGTAATTCTATGGTAGCAGTCAGCATACTACAAGGTAAAAATGAATTCTGGAAGGCATTTTCATTGTCCTGCTATAGAGAGTATTGGCAGGAGCTGTGCTTACATGGATAAAATGTGTCTCCTTACTGATGAAGGCACACTGACAAGATATTACAGGTACAATTCCTTTAAAGGTAGTACTGATTAGATACTGAATTTTCATTTCATTTTCATTTTAATCCAGTATCTTCACTTGTTTTAAATTTTTCTTATTTTCAAAGTCAATAAAACAGAATCCCTTCTAAGTATATCTTTGAGTGATTTATTTTTTAAAAAATTGGAAATTTTAGTCAATACTTTAAGGATTTTCTCCATTTACAACGATGCTTGCTATAGGTTTATTGTATATTGCTTTTATGTTGAGAGATGTCCCCTGTATCCCTGTTTCCTGCAGAACTTTTATCATAGAAATGAAGTATTCTGAGGACTTTTCTGCATTTAGAAACAACCAAAGACTGCATAACAAGCTACAATAAGACTATGCACAAACCCTCATATCAACGCTGGATAAGGGAATCAATCCTGTAGAAGAAAAAGGTTCACTAGAGCATGCAAAAGAATCAAAGACAACCAAACCCTCTCCCACTGTTAGGAGTACCACAAATATGAGATGGGTCAGCTGTTAAAGGCCATGCTCACTACTTTAATGAAAGTTATGAATCTATTACATCACTGATTTTCCCTCAATTAAACTTTGGTAGGTCATTTACCAAGAAATTTATCCATTTCTTCTTCCTTATGATTGTCTGAGTTTCCTTGGTGTCTGCTGTAATGTTCTCTCTTTAATTTATAATTTTATTTAACTAGATTGTATTTTCTTTCAGTTAATTTGAAAAAAAGAAAGTCAATCTTCATCTTTTCAAAGAACCAACTCAAAATTACATTGAATCTTTACGTCTTGCTACTACTTCTATTTCTATTTCAACCCTTGATTTTGATGAGCATTTCCTATCTACTTTTGGAAAATGTTATTCGTCTTCTTCTTCGCTGGCCTTTTGGTTCATGTTATTAATTTGAGATCTTTCACTGTTCTTAATATAGGAACATAGTTTTACAAAATTTCATTTTATGACTGTTCATTTGAATTTCTTTCATAGAGTTTGGAATGTTATGTTTTCATTTTCAGTCAATACTCGGAATTTAATATCATTTGCACACACCCTCAGCATAGTACTTCCAGTTTAGCTAACATACTAAGACAAGTGAAGGAGACAGAGAAGATACAAATGAGAAAGTAATCAAAGTATCCTTATATGTGGATGACATGATTCTATACATACAGTGTGAAGGAGAGAGTGGAAAGAGTCTGTGAGAGTGAAAAAGAACCAGTGTTGTCTGGACACTGCAGGACAGCTGCATATACAAACTCGCAGTGTTTGTAACAGCCTAAATACATGTACAAGCCTAAACCAAATCAAACCCCTCCATGGAAAGGGGAGTTAGGCTGAGAAACTATTGGCATTTCTGAGCTCCTGGGAAAGAAAAGATCAATTTTCTGTGAATATGTTTCCACTGATAACTCCTTGTTTCAGTAAATGACCAACTCATCCAAAACTAGTTCAGCAGCACAAATTGACCTGGAGGGAATAGAGTGGGGGACTCCAAGTTGGGGTGTGAATGGAAGGAGGAGGATATCTGGGAAGATCTAGGGAAAGTAGAGTGTATATAGTCAAAACACACTGTACAAAATTCTCAAAAACTAGTGTTTATTAAAAAAAACAAAACAAAACAAAAAAAACTAGACTCACTGAGAGTACTGGTGCACATCTTTCATCCCAAAACCCAGGAGACAGAAGCAGGCAGATCTGTATGAGTTCAGTGCCAGCCTGGTCTACATAGAGATTTTCAGAGCTGTCAATGTAGAAACCTGTCTCAAAAAAAACATAGAAAGGGACTTAAAATAGTATCAGTCAAGTAAGGTGGAGAACAAAAAATATTATAGTTTTAACTGAACGGTATTAGATTGACATTGAAAGCTCTTGGCAGAAAAAGCTAAATTTTACAAAGCATACTACATAACTCCATTCACTGCTGGCTCAAATCTTCTGTGAAGTGTCCTTTTTATGCCTCCTTCAAAGTTACCTTCAGACCACTTACTTGCTTACTAGTCCTGCTCAAAGCAGAGCTTCTTTGCTTCAGACTAGTCCTTCAGTATCTCCTTAGTGTCTTTAATTGTCCTAGAACTTTCAATAATGTACTTAGAAACATGCTTTTACTAACCAGAACTGTCACTGCTACCAAAGCAGTCACCACTGCTCTCTCATACTCATATTTCTATCAGGCAAAGCTTCTACTCATACGAAGCGCCCAGGGTCACAAAAACCCCTTCCAGGTTAATAAAAAGACCTAAAACAGGGAGGGGTGCCCCCTCTTCTCTCTAGCTCCTTTATTTATAGTTCTGCTAGGTGATATTTTACTCATAATCATGGCGTATAAAACAAGCCAAAGATTTTATGGTCAATTTGTAGTGGTTCATCCTAATATGATGCCCTCCACTTTTACAGCCACAAACTTGTATGTTTGACTTATGCTCTACAGTTCAGAAAAAGCTGAAAAGCACAAGAGTCAACCAATAAATATGATTGCAGTCTATCACAGCTAACATTTATTCAGCATTTACAACACAACAGTGTGTGCTGACACAGCAATATGTTTTCTATTGCCTGTTGTTATTAATGAGAAAGTCCCGGCAATAGGTCATCGTTTCAGTTTGAAACACAAAGGATGAAATAGCTGGTTCCCTACTCAAATCTGTTTAATAGCCATTCCCAGCTTCATGTTCCATTACAATGTCCCCAAGGATGACTGTAAAGGAGACAATAGGAAAGGTGTGACCTTCTTCAAGGACACATTCACCTTTAAAATAATCATCAAAGAACAAAGAACAAAGCCCTCAATCTCCTTCCTAAAGGGAGCTGTA